GCTGGCGCTGAGCCAGAGACAGACGCGTTTTTACAGCACTATGCATTCTAATCATAGACTGTAAAAAAACATGGACGTAGTGTCCATGACGTCACCCGTAGGATTCTAAAGAACGTTTTTGAAGCTCAAAGTGGCAGTGCGTCACCGCGCGTCACTCCCGGATAATTGAAAATGGGCAAAGAGGCGGGAGCTGGTTGCTGAAAATAAGGAGTAACTATATGTTTTATGAAATGTAGTGACGTAAAAAGTACGATCTTATGCTTTGGAATGTAGTGAAGTAAAAGTAAAAGTTACTCAAAATAAAACTACTCCAGTAAAGTACAGATACCTGAAAAATGTACTAAAGTACAGGCACTAGCCCCCTCAGATTTTCGAGCCAAGTGGATTTGGAATTTTTGCTTTTTGATTCAATCACACGGGCGTGATGTGTGGCACATCAAAGTGCTAAATTCAAGTCTGTGTTTGCTGGCTGGCGCTGAGCCAGAGACAGACGCGTTTTTACAGCACTATGCATTCTAATCATAGACTGTAAAAAAACATGGACGTAGTGTCCATGACGTCACCCGTAGGATTCTGAAGAGCATTTTTGAAGCCTAAAGTGGGCGGAGCGGGCTGTCGCCATCTTGGCAGCGCGTCACTCTCGATAATCGAAAATGGGCAAAGAGGCGGGACGTGGGTGGAGCTGGTAAACATTTTTTTTGGCTGTAAAATTGGGCATTTTAACATGGGGGTGTCTATGGGATTTACTCCCTTTTGGAGCCAGTCTCTAGCGGCCAGTCGATGAATTGCAGTTTAAGTCACTTCCGTGTTGGTTTCAAGAGAGAGACCGGAAGGTTGCCGCTTGATTATAACCAACCACACATGATTTTGTTGTGCTTATGAATGCAATGGCCAATCAGAGGTGTTCAGAGGAGTCATCGCTAAAACACTAGTTTTTTTCACGTATCGCTGACTGAATTCTGCTCTCTGGCGAATTAATTCTCTCATCAGAAACAACAAAGTGCAGATGTAAGTAAGTTATGCATTTCAAAGTTTAAACAGCTTCAGTGATTATAATGGGAGTTTTTGACTCGTGCCCCCTCAAAAATAATAAGTGCATGACGCCCCTGACTATACGTACATAAATGATTCAAACTACCATTCCGAGACATTCTGGTTCATTCACATTATTGTTTCTTCTGCTGTAGTCTCTCCTTGTTCTGGGTCTTGAGTCCGGTTCGTACATGTATGGCTGAATACCGGTCCACTCACTCTCGCTCATGTTGCGTCTCCTCTCTGTTTATTGCCATATGCAAAGCAGAGACGTCTAGGCTCCGCCCGCTTCTGGAGTCGGGCAGGAAGTTGCAGCTCATTTTCATGTAAGGGAACACACCCCTGAAACAGCACTTTTTAGACCCGCCCCAAAAATGACACTTTTCAACATGTTATAATAAACTATCTTTATGGTATTTTGAGCTGAAACTTCACAGCCACATTCAGGAGAGCCATAAGATTAATATTACATCTTGTAAAAAGGGGCATAATAGGTGCCCTTTAAATATCACTACTGATGTCTTACTACATTACTACTAAATGCAAACCTCGTAAAAATAACTGGCGGTCAGTGGAGGAAAGCCTTGTTTTGCCCTCCATGTGGGCGTTCCTGTAAGGGTGTGACGTCATGTGAATACTATGAATTACTAAATATTGGAGAAAGCTTTACGGTCAACTTGGATCACGTGTGTCTTAATAATCAATCACATTACAGCCTTGATGTCATTGAATTTCAGTCAGAGTTGTGTTCGGAGGGTGATATATCACGTTTGGAACACACCGTCAATCGCCGTTTACGGATAGGAATAAATGAGAAGTGCCGTAAGCTGTATCCCTGTTGCAAAACATCAGAGACTTCTCTTATAAAACTATTTTTTTTTCGATGTAGACTCTAAAATAGTTAAATCCAAAAGTATTGTTTAGTGCTGGGGTGTCAAACATAATAGGGTATATGTCGAACATCACCTGACCAAACCCGGAAAACAGGCCTCATTGCTTCCGTTTGTATGGACATTGGTTATGATCATCATTGGTATCTACTTTGAAGGCATCTTGAGAAAAACAGCTTCATATTTAACTAAGCATAAGCAAAACGCTTGAACCGGAAGCGACGAGACCCGGTTAACAGAATACGGAGTCTGTTGCGCATAACCCCTATTCCTTTTGTTCCAACCCTGCTCCAACACACATAGTATGCAGTTCTCAAATAAGCCTGAAGGACTTGATTAGTTGGATCAGGTGTGTTTAATTAGGGTTGAATCTAAACTCTGCAGGGCTCCGGCCCTCCAGGAATTGAGTTTGACACCCCTGTTTTAGTGTAAAACATGTTTTACGATATAGGCTGTCGATTCATTAAATGATAAGCTGTTTCCTCATAAAAGCTGTTTATTCAGCATAGTGAAGCCTCTCCTCCGTTGACATACATAAAAAAAAAAACACGCCTCTGGTCTCCTTTCCCACGTACTGCCAAAGGAAAAGCGTTAGCATTAGTCGTTAAGCTTTTTTGACTAAAGATTGCAGGCTTGCCTTCTAGTGGCTTTGGTGTAAGGTCCGGTGAGAATGCTGAGAATATGCTAGTCTCGCGAGAACCAAGGTTTGTTTACAGGAGCAAAGGAAGCACATTTTCCTTTGTTTAGCAAAGGAAAACACGTCTCCTCTTGGCTTATATCAATATATCAGTATGGTGGTTGAGGAGATTCCCCCTTCTATGTAAAGCGCTTTGAGTGCCCAGAAAAGCGCTATATCAATGGTTTCTTTGTTTGAATATGGCGCTTATCACATGCTGTGGGGTATCGGCGTTTGGTATCGGGCATTTTAACGAGTACGAGTAGGAGTACATGAGCTCAGTATCAGGCCCGATACCGATACCGATACCAGTATCGGTATCGGTGCATCCCTAATTATTATTATGATTATTATTATACCACTAGTGTTTCCAACTTCAGAAAAGGAAATTAAGGGAAAGTTGTGGTTTTTCATGGAAAAATAAGGGAAAGAATAAGGGACACACACACACACACTCAAGAAAAAAATGTTAATAATCGTGCTGTTTTTTCAGTTCACTTCGAACACGTTCGGAGAGGAGGGGCACCGGCCCTGTATCTCTATCACAGCAACATTTCACAAACACTCCCCATTTAAGAGTGTACAGATGCCTAGTAGAAGGTGCACAAGACTTGCCAAGTACACAGGGAGGCAGGGCACTTAGCCCCTCTAGGACCCCTGATGTAGCCACACATGAAGGCTCCGGGCTGTGGTGCCATATCAAGCCGTTCGCTTGAGACAGCAGGTCCCTCCTGAGGGGGATTTGCCAAGGGGGAGGCACCAGCATCTCCCTGAAGTCCGGAAACCAAGGTTGATTTGGCCAGTTCGGGGCAATGAGGATCACAGACGCTCTCTCTTCCCTGATTTTGCATAACACCAGAGGCAAAATCTTCACCAGAGGGAACGTATAAAGTCTGGCTATTAGTTAGCGTGACATTAGAGCGTCCCCCATCAGCGGCGAGTGACACAGCGAAAAGAATAGCAGGCAGTGTGTATTCTCGCTCGTCGTCAACAGATCCACCTCCGCTCTCCCGAAGTGGTCCCAAATCATATGAACCGAACTGGGATGCAGCCTCCACTCCCCGTGAGGAATTTCGTTCCTCGAAAGCATGTCCGCTCCGCGGTTTTGAAGTCCGTCACTCTGATGGAGAGTAGATGACGATCCGCCTGCTTGAAAAGGGCTCTGGAGCACATGCCACCTTGGCAATTTATGTATGAAACCACACACATATTATCGGAAATTGTTGGAAACCCTAATTACCACGCATTCACTGCCATTATAAAGCTTGGAAGAGCCAGGACATTTTTAAATATAACTCAGATTGTATTCATCTGAAATAAGAAAATCATATACTGTACACCTAGGATGGCTTGAGGGTGAGTAAATCACAGGGTAATTTAAATTTTTGGGTGAACTATCCCTTTAACCAACCAATTCCTGCTCCGCTACCGCTAGTGATGAAGAAATTACATCAGTTTTAGCAGTATAATATCTTGTGAACTATTTTGTGGACTAACATTTCACAAACCTACCCCAGAAAGAGGAACGAAACGAGAAAAAGTTGTTTAGCGGTTGATCTTTCATAGCTCAGTTTCATCAGCTTTGATTTTGATTGGTCAGGATTTTCATCAGTGTTTCTGCTATAATTGCTTATAAGATGTAAAACAGACACAAATGAGATAACCACAGATATACTAAGAATATATCTAGCTAGAATAGCTCAGAATTAAATGAGAAGTGCTCATATTGAATTATATGAATTTTGTAGATGTTGGTAGGCCTACCTTGGTAAAGTTTTGAGTTGTTAAAATCTCTTCTGTGACTCTCCGGCAAATACCGGTGATGTTAATGGTGTATTTTTCTCAGCAGACTCAAAAATTTCCAGATGTTATTGAATAGAATGTATTTGTGATTCTTCTTCAATATGGGTCATGTTCCTCTGTTATTAGCTCCTGAGCCTGTAAGGAATGGATGTGAAGCTTGTGTTGACTGGTCCATCCACACTTTCGCCTGCAGTGACGATGAAAGCTAATGAGAGGATGTAAGTGAGGTGCTCCAGCAGAGGTACGGCTTCTGTTCTTCTGTTCTGATTGGCCCAGTTCTTGATGAGAAAGATGTAAAATAATGAGATGAGTATGGGCACTTTTTTAAGTCTTTTTTTTTTCTTTTTTAAAGTTTGTATAATTTATTTAAACAAACAGCTGTAAAAGTTTGTCCTACGAGCACAATTATTCAACATGCAAGTTGCATATTCAAGTATTTTAAAGCAAACTATGGAGAGAACAATAATAAATTGGTACATATAGTTTTAGCATTTAAATATATAAACTTAATCTGAAATAATCAAAATCTAAAAAGGTCTGTAAAAGCACAAGAAAATGTATGAGGAATGTAAAACTGAAACTCTTTTTTGCAATATATACAATTTATTTCTGTTTTTGACATTTTCTTCTGCTTTTTATATAATGGAGTCTTTGACGTCTTTGGGTAGGGGTGTAGCATATTCTTATAACAAGTCATTATCTCACAAATAAAAACATATATCATCTTGACCTGGTCTGATAAAGTTTCAGCACAAGCTTGCATACTGGTGAAGGAAATATAATTCACAAGCATAAAATTAACATCTGTATGTATGTAACATGGTGCATCCCTGAGTTCTTGTCAAATGACTCATCGATGAAGACAACCTTGTAATTTTTTTAACTTTTTAACTTTTTTAACTTTTTCAACCTTGTAAGTCAGAACAGATGAGGCTGTGATATACTGTAGGTAAGAATATAAATGTCTTAACTGCATGTCATGTCTGGTTATGTTCTCATTTATCTCTGATTCACTTCTCTGGGCTAATTTTTCACATCACTACCACAGGTTCCATATTTTTGACTCTGTAAAATTATCAGTCATTTTTATGATAAAATGTTCAGCTGAAACACACCCTAGCCCAGGGGTCTCCAAACTCGGTCCTGGAGGGCCGGTGTCCTGCAGAGTTTAGCTCCTATTTGCCTCAACACACCGGCCTGGAAGTTTCAAATATACCTAGTAAGACGTTGATTAGCTGGTTCAGGTGTGTTTAATTAGAGTTGGAGATAAACTCTGCAGGACACCGGCCCTCCAGGACTTAGTTTGGTGACCCCTGCCCTAGCCAACATGAACATTTCAGACTGGTGCCAACTGAAAAAAAAAACTATGCTAATTTACCCATAATACAGTATGTGCCTATCGTCTGTATCGGTCATTGAGCATATTTGGGCAAAAACATGTTGAGAAGCACAGATTTGTGCAAATGATAATAACTCTCTTTCTATGATTTTTAGATCACCCAAACATGAAATGAAAATGGATGAAAGGGGATGGGGACAAGAAGCAGTCAAGCTTTCAAATAGACAAAACAGAACCATAAAAGTACCATAAAAATCTTAATGAACCATATTTGAATATCCTGGAATGTGAGTGATTTTAAAGATTCATGATTTATTCATGATGCTGTCTGTGAAAAATGACTTGTTTCTCGCAAAATACCACATGGCTTCAGAAGACTTCGAAGATAACTTGTATGTTTTATTGTCATTTTTGGATCTTCACAGCTCCTCACTACCATTCACCTATTTAATATGGAAAATGGTGTAAAAAAAATGGCTAAATCTCTGTGTTTGTTTTCCATGGCAGGAAGAAAGTCATACAGGTTTGGAAAGACATGAGGTTGAATAAATGATGACAGAATTAAAATTTTTGGATGAACTAAGCCCTTAAAATGAAAAATCACTTTGAATTAGAAGATCCTTCAGTGAAACCTCCTAAAGGGACGTTGTTGAGGTTCATAGTAACTGTGCAAACACTTGCTAGTAGTTTGTTCCACAAAGATCAGTTTGCCATGTTATTAAAAGAGGGAAAAAGCATCAGTTCACTGCAATATTTTAGCCATTTTTCAGGTCTTGACCCAAATACCAAGATGAAATCTGGATTCAAAAGTTGCATTTGGCAGCTGTATCTCTATAAGAGAAACTGGACAGGGTTCAAATTCCCTGTGCTCTTTTCATCCGCCTCAAAAAGTTTCGCTTCTCCTCAAGCAGCTCTTGGATGCGCTTATTCCGTGTTTTCTCGCACAGAAACACTCGTCCTCTCCTGGGGATGATGTTATTCACAGGAAACTCGTTGTCCAATGGGATTATTTGATATGGTATATCAATAGCATTGCTCTCACTCGCTTCTTCCACTTTATTCGGCCGTTCGCTCGTCTTCTCTGTGTTGGATGCTGTTGTACTGGACAGTGGTGTACTGGAAGTTGTAGATATAGAGGTTGGTACCAGGGGTGCAGTTTCTTTAGTGGTTGTTAACACCTCTGCTGTCACTGGGTTGCTGATGTCCACATTGCCAGAGGTTATCAATTCGCTTTCATTCACACCATTCACTGTTGTTGACGGCAATACCGCACTGCTGTCCACATCTGGTGCACCACTACTCCCATCAAACTCTTTAAACTGGACGGTGGTGCTGGGATTGAGAGTAACATCATTCAGATCACTGAAAATTACGGGGAAAACAGTGCTGACAGGTAATTTGGTGCTGTGTGCCATGTCTTTTCCAGGTGCAGATGAGATCCTTGTTGCTACAGAAACAGTGCTAACAGGTAATTCGGTCACGTCATTTCCAGGTGCAGATATGATCCTAGATGGTGTAGTAATGGCAAAGGATGTGCTCTGTTCTGGAGTAGTGTGCTTATAGATAGGAGTTGTAGTATATAGATATAAGGGCACTGTTGTATATCTGTGAGTATCAGTTGACGTTGCCAAGGCTGTATATAACCAAGGTGTGCTCACAGATGTGGCACTTTTCCCTTCTGTAGACGGCAAAAAGGCTGCCGTGGTGGTCCACGTGGTGCGTGTAGGACTTTGGGTTGTGGTGGATCGTCCTTTGGTGGTGCTTTTCGATTTGGATGGTTGCAAAGTGGTCTTTGTAGAATTGCCAACCTTGCAGGAATTGCAGCACATGCGCTGGAAGCCCGGCATGGAGCAATACTGCTGCAGCACCTCCATGCGACAGAATGCAGAACGGTCACCGTGACAACGTTCTGCAAAACAAGAGAGGGGCATGATAAGACATACAGTATGTATGTACATTGAAATCCAACTGAAGGCAAATATATGATTTAACATCACCGCAACAAGCTAAATACATTTGTTTACATGATCAAAACTAAATTTAAAGTTCAGATCAAGTAGAAAAAATTCTTAAGGTAACGATCAAGTCACCATTTTTTACAATCTATGATGAATATGTACAGGTCCATCTCAATAAATTAGAATGTCGTGGAAAAGTTAATTTATTTCAGTAATTCAACTCAAATTGTGAAACTCGTGGGAGCTTAATAAGGATATGTGTAGCTAACTAGATATGTGTCTTCTACGCTTCTCATGCTTTTAACAAGTTTGCTTGAGTAAGAAATAAGCAGAAATGAAAGAAAAAACATGAAAGAGAAGCATTAGATGAAGCAAAGGAAGAAACAGAGTTATGAACTGACCATTAAGCAAGCCTGCAAAGACAGGCATATAGATGCATACTACAGGACTAAACATGTTAGGTTAACATGTGAGGTTAACATGCAGTTTTCTTTTGTCTTCCTTTTGAATGTGGTTATTTGTCCTTCTGAATATGGATTGTATTTATTTATATAATCGTTAGCTAAAACATTTTGCAAGATTCTCCAAAAATTGGTGATCATCAAACGGATTTTCAATGGCTGACAGCTGAGAGCAGGGTATTCGGTAAAATCTGGTCACATTTAAAACATAAATTGTTCGTTGCACTATAAAAACCCATTATTCTGTGAATACATGACAAACATCAGTGTTTTTTTCTTTACCCTGATTCACTACAGTAAGCCTTATACTTGTAGCACAACGGACATAAGAATAAAACATCTCTGCAAAATAACCTGCAATTCTACCACAGATGGTGAAGGAGAGGCCAATGTTCTGTAGTGCACCTTTAAAGTAACTGGGAAAAAATCCCACTTGTCACAGAAAAACAGACAGAAAGCAAAAAAGCCATAAGATATTTTTTTTTTCCATTTTTATGACACGTTTTTATTCCTACTTTTGCAGTTGACCATGACAGAAACTGAAACAATGAAATGCACTCCCACCCCCATTTAAACATACAGATAGAGTTGTCTTCTTCAGAAAAATAAATCAACTGTTTTGAAAGGTACAAGTTCACAGTAACTTTGGTTAAACACTTCATTACTTTGAGAACAATTAATCCATTGGTAATTCAGATGAACAGTAAATAAATAAATAGGTCATTGGTTAAATAAAATACACGATTTCAATGATGATGTAAAAACTGGCATGGCACATACGAGTGTCATATATTAAACATTTACAAAACATTAATAAAGTTTCCCTGATAAATCAAAGTGCATATAGACGCAGTGCACGTAAGTCCATCTGAATGTTCCCCAGACATTTTCCCCCACAACAGCCAGCCAAGACGCAGTTGGGCCAGTGAAGTAACATGACAGTTACTCATAGTATATAATATTAGCATTTTTTTCTTATAAGTAAGGAAATAACAGTCATAAATGTTATTAAATACAGTAAACACCAATGTTTATTCAGATAGCTCGCTACATAGTCACAACAGAAATGTGTTTCACGATACAATGACACGTCTGAAGTGATAAAGAGATGCTGAGTGTAGGTTTCCACTAAAACGCTTTTAGCCACTGTTTTCGGATGTGTGTGATGATTGGTTGATCGGTTGTTTCTAATTCAGGCTTTGTTTGAAGCTGCCTCTGGTTTCTGTGCGCTAAGCCATCACTTTCGCAGATAAATGCCGATACATTCAAACGTAGTGTAAGGCATTGTTCTTACGCTCTTCTTTGGCCGGCCCCCCACCCCCACTCCCCCCTTGGATGTGGATGAAAGTTCATGAGGTATATTTATGTGTCGTCTTTTGTATGGCCACTGGTAACCGTAGTTAAAAACGCATGCTGGCAGACGTACACGCACGCACACGTGTGTCGGAAATGCTCGCACACACAAAGGCATGACGAAAACACACATCACTCATCACCATGTGGAGATATTTAATGTGCATGAATCCGATAAAATGAAACCACAACTCTCAGAAAAAAAAACAGAGAGGCAACTGGCTGAGTGAGTCCTGCATAATATAGGTCTTCCCTTTCCCCAAAAACACTTATCTTCTGTTATTAAATAGCAATAGTTTTGTATTTATGTAAAATCAATTAAAAAATACACGTAACAGTCAAGAATTAAAGCGATCAATAGCAGTCAAAATGTTAGGCTAATAAGCTACAGCTTATTCATGGTAAAACAAATTATTAATATTTCATATTATTGGTACCCATATAGATTTATAGTCATATATAAATACAAATATATTTATATGTTTGTTTAAAGTCTGCAAGCACAAATAAGCTGCATTTATTGAATTTGTTAACAGTCAAAGAGAGGATGGAGGATGAGGTGGTTATGGCATTTGAACGTGTGTAGTAAAGTGACCCTGTTTAGCAAGTTCCACCTCATGTTCACCATCGGCCACCAACACGTACGATGGCAGTTCAACAGTACGTCCCATGGTAACATCTTAACTTGTTAGTTTGAGTGTTTGTTTTTGTCCCATCGGTTTTCAAGAATGAACTAGGATGTGGAATGAGCACTTAGCAAAGATTTCCTCATTGTGACAAGTTCACATTCACAATAAAGCTTAAGTTTTTTTGTCATTTTTTTTTCTTTTTTAATGTTTTAGCCACTTTTCATGTTTATTTTTCCCCCTTCACACCTGCAGCTCAGGCGGCGCCTCTGTAAAACGGCGTCCGCCTTGAGAGCGTGAGCCATATGGAAACAGCTTGCAGAGGGCAGTGATTCAAACAAACGCGTCGCCCCTGCGGAAAGCTCAGCGCAATCATTAGCTCCGCAAGCTGCCCGTCCAATCACAAAGCCCCTCCTTTAACAAACATCCCCAAAATTTTTTACATGTTATGTTTTGTCAACAATTTCTTACTGGCCAGCGTTCACAACACAGAGCTCCACAAAGGAGAGAGAGAGATAGAGCGAGAGAGAGAGAAACAGAGAAACCTCCCCCTATCGGAAACGCCCCATAAAAGAGGACTACCACCCAGGAAAAAGAAGCGTGCAAGCCTCGGAAGAGGGAAGCAGTCAGGGGAGTTTGCCTTGTAAAGCCAGGCAGATAGACAGAGGGAAGGTCCAGCTGAGAGAGGTGAGACAGCGCAGCGCCACAACGTGGCTGGAGAGAGACGCTTTACTTGACATCCTCTGCACGGGGTATTTGGGGTCGTGACGCGACAACCACTGTATCAGGAAGTTGCCGTGCTTGTTGAAGTCAGAAGTGCTCCCTGTTGTATGTGGGAGAGGGATTGGGAAAAAGAAAGCCCGGGAGACAAAGAGAATGCGAGAGAGAGAAAGAAAGAACGAAAAATCCCATCAACTATATTAGTGTATTCATTCATGTTATGAATTAGTCTGTTATTTCTGCAAAAACTAGTACAGATAATACAACTTTCATTAATAACATTAATAAGCATGCTTGACAGATCATTAGTAGGTGTACATTCAAATAATCCCAATTGTCTATGCTTGGCTTCATATATTTTTGTCTTCATCAACATGAAATGAAAATCGATAATCGATATCTACGACTTCTGACTTGCACTTGGAAGATGACATATAAAACTGGCATTGCATATTATAATTTATCCTCCAAATTATTGATGCAATTTTTACAGGATTTATTAATGTAGTTAATGTTAGAAATATATATATATATATATATATATAAACTATAGTTCATTGTTATGTTCATTGTTGGGGTCAGTTTTACTTTTTTTCTTAAGCATTTAAACCTTTATTCAGCAAAGATGCATTCAATTGATCAGAACTGGCAGTAAAGACATTTATGATGCCACAAAAGATTTCAAAGAATACTGAAAAAATATTAAGCAGCAAAACTGTTCATTAAATAAGAACTGTTTCTTGAGCACCAAATCAGTATATTAGAATGATTTCTGACATATCATGTGACACTGAAGACTGAATCTTACGAAAAATTAATGAATGTTTTAAAATATTGTTCATTGGTATTTCATGTTAGATAATGTACACATCCTTATTGTAAAGTGTAACCAGTTAGATACATCCTTATCTCGGAGAGATGCATTATGTGAGCATTACTTTTAATCCTTTCCAACCAACCATCTGACTCCATTTTGGTATGTTACACCCACTTTTAATGATTCAACCAATTGTCAATGGCTCTCAAGTCCTGCCCTATATTGTTTCTAGTTTAATATCTTGCTACACTCAAAAATTTGTCAATTTAAAATAGGCTGTGAACAGCACTTCATGTTGACTTTAATTTTGAATGTACTGATCTGTTAGATGTTTCGGGTTGTTATTTCAGACTTAATGAAAGTTACTGAAAATGTGAGCACATAATCAAATACGCACTTGGGCAGGGATCCATTCTGCAGGGTCTTAATGCAGCTGGTTTGGAGTCCAGACACAGTCCAATGGTGTTGTCACGGGTGTGACAAAGCACCTGCCTCTCCTGCGTACCATTACCACACGTCACTGAGCACTACAACGGCACAAACACAAACAAACATTCATTATTTTTATGCTAAAAGTTGATCAAACTAATCCCACGCGCAGACCTATACGGATAGAAACACAGCATGTCAGATGTCTGTACCTGTGACCAGGGGCCCAGCCTCCACTCAGCAGGGCACAGGTTGCGATTACAGTCTCTGCGAGACTCTGGGCGCTCGTCACTGCAGTAACGGCTGCGGATGGATTTGATCTTGCCGTCGGCTAGAGGCTGGACGCAGCGTACAGAGCGTGTCTGAGTGCCAGTCTTCCCACAAGACTTACTGCATTCACCCCACTCTCCAGCCACCCAGCTAAACACATAGAAACAGACAATCAGTCAAAGTTTATCAAGAAAAACAGGTGCCAAA